ATTGAAAAAAAAGTCGGAACAAGAATGCATCACTGTTAGATGTACTACTTTTCTTAAGTATTCTTCTTCAACTATTACAACGTTTTAACTTCATCAAGTGAATAACATGAGTGTGAACCTTTCATGAGTTATAATTAGACTTTCCGGTGTGCACTCACCTGATTTCATCAAAAACACTATTATTTACGTCGGCCGTTATACGCCTCGCCATGTGCCTTGCGCGAAGCAAAAGACCATGATATTTCGAAAGGCACTCCTCTTCTCTGAGAAAACTAAAAAATATACACTTCGTATGATTGGATCCCCATACATCATAGAATGAGCTGGCGGAATAATTTTAGAAAGAAAAGAATGTGGAAGATTAGTCTTCATAATCCATTACCTTGATAATAGCTACTATTTGCGTGTCGTAGAACTTATACTTTAACTCTATTGTTCAAATGTTGCAGAAGTGTCGCTGGCAGGCAATCCGTTATTCGATTTTGTTGAAATCCGTAGTATGCAAACCTAAGTTTGAACAACTGTACCACTGTTCCCCTCGAAAAGATGTAGTTGAAAGAGGGCTACTTTTATAAAAAGCTTTTCTGAAAGCTTCAGTTAATCCTTTTTTGCAAATCATTGGGACTTTCCAACGATAGGGATGAGGCTTAGCGATATGTGTGTGTGTGCTTGATGGGATGCTGATTGACTCCATCAACAGTAAAATTGCGAAAATATTAGTTTTTTGAGAGCATCAACTATCGAATGTGTTTCCTTCATTTTTTCTAGCTCACTTTCTAGGAACTGCAATGTAGAGAAGAAGTTTCACAGAGGAGGAATGGTAAGTATTGCGCTTATAGTCTTTTATGACATTCACTGGGAAAATAAAAATGATAATTTTCTAATCTTTTTTTCCAAAGAAAAGCATGAGCTTGCACAGCTGCTGCTAGCAAGCAACACCAGACAGACGAGAGCAGCTATGGTCCTAATAGTGTACGAAAGTTTCAAGAGTTGAGCGATGCGCAATTTATTTATTGTATTTGCAACCAATTCATTGCATGAAATAAAAACAATCCCTTCTTCAATCTATCCAATTCAAAAGCATTCTCTTATGTAAAACGAGTTAATGGATTTTTTAGCTCTATAGGTCAAGTAAGAATTGGCAAATCTTATGCTCAAAAGAGCAACATTCTATTTATTAAAGGATTTGAGGATGTTAGAACGTCAATAGTTCTGTGGGAAAGTATTGCTAGATTTGAGAGCATCTTGTTCGTTATAAGTTTGAATAATCGAAACAGCTTTACTCTTTAGCATCGAGATCTAAACAAAAGAAAACATTGTTACCATTGTGAACCATAATCTCAGAAACGCCAGATTTCCGCAGACGGCGCTAGTGTGGTCATTTCACGAGAGTTTGATCAAAGGTTACCGCTCAAATTCAATTTGATTTTCTTACGTCCTACCGAAGTATAGACTTGTTCAAACTTTTGTCAAAAGTCGTCTTTGATAAGCCGTCTTAACCTCTACCTTTTATCCAGCTTTTGTAGTTTAATTCAAGTGATTCTTACACGAGCTTATTTGATCTCTTCTCAGCTCTATATTTTTGTAGTTGGTTGAGATTCACAAGGAGTACTTCGCAAACGGTTAAATAGCGGTTATTAGGTTAAAACTGATAAGCAGCAAATTCTGTCAGAAAATGGCCCGCTTTTGTTTTGTTCAAGACTCCTTTTGATATGGCTCTAACAACAATGTCTTGAATAATCAACCAGTAAGCTCGCATCATGATAGGAACAACCGCAATGTTATGTTGCTACTATACTTCTCTGGCAACAGCAAATGAAAGTTAGATCTCCAGTTTGAAGATGGATCTAAATCAAATGTAGTTTTTCGTTCAAATGAAACGCA